GATTAGAGAAGAGGATACTGGTATTATTGTGAAACTCAATTAAATTAAATGAGCTATTGTAGGAGACAGCACCTAGCCCAGGGCCCATCCTGTGCTAGGTACTCAGTGTGAGTCTGCACTTTTCCTTTTTTTTTTTTTTTTTTTTTTTTGAGATGGAGTCTCACTTTGTTGCCTGGGCTGCAGTGCAATGGTACAATCTCAGCTCACTGCAACCTCTTCCTCCCAGGTTCAAGCGATTCTCCTGCCTCAGTCTCCCAAGTAGCTGGGATTACGAGTGCCCACTACCACACCAGGCTAATTTTTGTACCTGTTTTAGAGATGAGGTTTTGCCATGTTGGCCAGGCTGGTCTCGAACTCCTGACCTCAGGTGATCTGCCTGCCTCAGCCTCCCAAATCCCTTGGTTGGGATTACAGGCATGAGCCACCATGCCCAGCCGGTTCTGTGCTTTTCGTTCCATTCCCACACTCTGATGACAAGATCAAGGCCTGCCAGGGCCCATGACAGATGATGAGTTTGAAACATTTAATCTCTGGGAAATAACCCACAACAGAAGCAGACATCACAGCTCAAATTGGCAGGTTACAACCCAATCCTGGAGGCAAATTCCAAAAATTACCTTTATTCTGGCTACACTAGGGCCAAAGCTTTTTCCTGCCTTGCAGTGATTATGGCATAAACTGAGTCTTAGGGCAATGTGGTCATTTTCCACTGTTGGTGTGCTTTTAACTCAGTATTTTAAAACCATTCAGAATTTTCCTCTTAAAGCATGGCTCCAAAATAAAAACAGGAAAGCAAATATTTAGGATTTGTTCCAGAAGAACTGAATCAGTCACTCATGTATTCAACAAACATTAGCATCCAATGTGTATTAGTCCGTTCTCACACTGGTATAAAGAACTATCTGAGACTGGGTAATTTATGAGGAAAAGATGTTTAACTGACTCACAGTTCTGCAGGCTGTACCAGAAGCATGGCTGGGAGGCCTCAGGAAACTTACAGTCATGGCAGAAGGCGAAGGGGAAGCAAGCACGCCTTACCATGGCGGAGGAGGAGAGAGAGAGCAAAGGGGGAGATGCTACACACTTTTAAACAATCATATCTCTTGAGAACTTGTTCCCTATCATTAAAAATGGCAAATGATGCAGTCACCTCCCACCAGGTCCCTCCACCAACACTGGTGATTACAATTCAACATGAGATTTGGGTGGAGACACAGAGTTAAACCATACTAACATGTTTTCAAGGCAACTGGTGGAAAGACAGAAGCCTTCTTAAGGAGCTAATTCATGTGGACAGAGATGAGATGGTTCACAAACAAGAAAGAAATTGACACGAGGAGTCAGACAAGAGGTGGTTACTTCCACAAGTGGCTTTACTGGGAATGGTGAGCCCTGAAATGGTGTGACTGACATAAAGGTGGAGACACATGCAGAATTCCCTGAAAAGGGAGTGCAGATCAGCACAGTGACTTCAGAAAATTGTTCTGTCTACTAAAACTGAACATGCATGCACACTCTATCCCACGAATTCCATTCCTAGGTATATTCTAAAGAGAAACGCTTCCAATTGTTCACTAGAAGACACGTACTAAAAGGTTCCAGGTAGTACTCATAATAGCAAACAAAACAAAAACTAGAAACTATCAAAATGTTCAACAGTAAACAGGATGAAAAATTGTGGCATATTTACAAAATAGAATACTATACAGCAATGCAAATAAATGTTTTACAACTACATGCAGCAACATGGATGAATCCCACAAATATAGTGTTGAACAAAAGAAGTCAGACACAAAAGAGTACATACTATATGATTCTATTTATATAGAGTGCAAAAATAGGCAAAATCAATACATGTTAATAGAAGTCAAAATAGTGGTTCCCCTTGTTGAAGGATAGTGACTGGAAGAGGACACATGGGGACTTGGGGGCTGGGGACTGTAACATTCTGTCTCTTGACCTGAATGCTGGTTACATTGGCATGTTCAGTTTGTGACAATTCATCGAACTACACACTCAATGGTCTATGTGTTTCTTTGTATGAATGTTTTACTTCAATATGAGTTAAAGGCGGGCACAGCAGCTCACACCTGTAATCCAAGCATTCTGGGAGGCTGAGTTGAGGGGATCACTAGAAACCCAGAAATTGGAGGCTGCAGTGAGCTATGATCACACCACTGCACTCCAGCCTGGGCAACAGAGGAAGACCCTGTCTTAAAATAATAATAATGATGAGGCCGGATGCAGTGGCTCACACCTGTAATCCCAGCACTTTAGGAGGCCAAGTCAAGCGAATCACTTCAGCCCAGGAGTTTGAGACCAGCTTGGGCAACATGGTGAAACCCCCTCTCTACAAAAAATACAAAAGTTAGCCAGGCATAGTGGCATGTGGCTGTAGTTTCAGCTACTCGAGAGGCTGAGGTGGGTGGATCACTTGAGCCCAGGAGATGGAGATTGCAATGAGCCATCATGATGCCACTGTACTCCAGCCTGGGTGACAGAGTAAGACCCTGTCTCATAAATAAATAAATACGTTTTTTTAATTGGAGAAAAAAATAATAATGAGTTAAAATTGGAGGAAAAAGTTACCTGAGCACCTACTGTGTGCAAAGCCCCTTTATTTCACCCATCTGAGGCAGGCAAACCCCAAAATTGGGGCTCACCCCAGGAGGGTTCTTGGCTTCACGTAGGAAAGAATTTAAGAGCAAACCAACACAGTAAAGTGAAAGCCAAACAGAGTACAAGCAAATGGCTGCTGCATAGGCAGAGCAGCACTCCTGGATTGCTGGCTAGCTACATTTATAGCTACTCCTTAACAGTATGCTAAATAAGGGGTGGGTTATTCACAAATTTGCTAGAAAAGGGGTGGAGAGTTCCCAAAACCCAGGGTTCCTCCCCTTTTAAACCACATAAAGTAACTTTTGGACATTGCCATGGCATTTGTAAACTGTAAAGGTAATGCCAGAAATTACCTTTATTCTGACTACACTAGGGCCACAGCTTTTTCCTGCCTTGCGGTGATTGTGGCATAAACTGAGTCTTAGGGCAATGTGGTCATTTTCCACTGTTGGTGTGCTCTTAACTTAGTATTTTAAAACCATTCAGGGCCGGGCACGGTGGCTCAAGCCTGTAATCCCAGCACTTTGGGAGGCCGAGACGGGGGGATCACGAGGTCAGGAGATCAAGACCATCCTGGCTAACACGGTGAAACCCCGTCTCTACTAAAAAATACAAAAAAAAACTAGCCGGGCGAGGTGGTGGGCGCCTGTAGTCCCAGCTACACAGGAGGCTGAGGCAGGAGAATGGCGTAAACCTGGGAGGCAGAGCTTGCAGTGAGCTGAGATCGGGCCACTGCACTCCAGCCCGGGCGACAGAGCGAGACTCCGTCTCAAAAAAATAAATAAATAAAAATAAATAAATAAATAAAACCATTCAGAATTTTCCTCTTAAAGCATAGCTCCAAAATTCCAGAAATTACCTTTATTCTGGCTACACGGGTGGGAATGTCTTTTAACATGCAAATGCATTATAATTAGTGTATAATGAGCAATGAGGGCAACTAGAAGCCACTTTCATTGCTATCTTGATTTTAGCTGGTTTCAGCCGGTCCCTTTACTGCATCCTATTTTGACCGGATTCTGTTTTGATCAGCGGGGTTGTGACCAGGGTCATGGCTAGTGCTTAGAAAACAGGTCCTGCTGATTTCCTACCTCACATCTTCCTTTCCAATGAAAGCAAATAGATTATTCCAACTTCTACCTCCACAGTCAATGATTATCCTTGTATATGCCTCATGGGGGCCTGTGAGTGTGTCTTTAAGATGTGCCAAGCACAGCGGTTCATGCCTATAATCCCAGCGCTTTAGGAGGCCAAGGAGGGTGGTTCACTTGAGCCCAGGAGTTCGAGACCAGCTTGGGCACCATAGTGAGGCCCAGTCTCTATAAAAATAAATAAATGATAAACCTGGAGTTGATGGACTTTGTGGGGAGGAGTAAGTAGTCCTTAAATGGGCATCAGGGGAGCCATGAATCTCCTACAATTATATGCAAAATGTTGCTTGTCTAGGAATTTTCCTGGGGAGATAGCCTAAGGCATTCTCAGATTCTCAAAAAGATTACCGACCCAGGATGAGCTCAGAATCTCCAGATTCTCCCAGTCTTGCTTAAAGCACACACGTGTTTTCAGAGCTCATACCTGTAGTTGTTGGGATCAATTACACCTTGCTTGATTCATTTCACATCATTCCTCTAAACTAGCAAATGTACAGCCGTGTCCTACCCGTCATTTGTCAAAGCTTCAAAGAATCACACCATGTCCCGTTCTGATCACTTCACATAACCACTCCCCAACACCAGGCATATGTCTGCTTCTTGTTTCTTACCGTCCCATAAAGGCTGCTGTGAATACCTTTGTACAGATTGGTTTTTCCTCCTAAAGAGTCTTCTTGGAGTGTTTTTAAAAATTGCAGGAAGTGGGTCAAATGGTACCAACAGTTTAATACTCCTGGATTGCTACCAACCACATTTTCAATGCAGCAAGAATGGCTATTAAAAATCACCTACGGCCGGGCGCGGTGGCTCAAGCCTGTAATCCCAGCACTTTGGGAGGCCGAGACGGGCGGATCACGAGGTCAGGAGATCGAGACCATCCTGGCTAATATGGTGAAACCCCGTCTCTACTAAAAATACAAAAAACTAGCCGGGCGAGGTGGTGGGCGCCTGTAGTCCCAGCTACTCGGGAGGCTGAGGCAGGAGAATGGCGTAAACCCGGGAGGCGGAGCTTGCAGTGAGCTGAGATCCGGCCACTGCACTCCAGCCTGGGCGACAAAGCGAGACTCCGTCTCAAAAAAAAAAAAAAAAATCACCTAAAGGATATGACAAAAGGGATTGTTTTAGCTTTAATTCATCATTGATCTTCCTCTTGTCCCCCCATAATAATAGTCATCTATCCTTGATAAAATAGGAGAGTGAAACATAGTTATTACAATAATGGAAAAATACCTATTTTCTGGCAAGATATTTCATGCTTCTGTGCCCTTGGAAGTTCCTCTGAAATTTTTTCCTATCATTCACCATAACCAACATGTCAGTTTCAGGGTAAACAGGCAAGATGGGGGGGGAAAGGGTGGACCGTTGCCATAGCAACAAAGGATTTCAGTGATGAGTATCCATGGTGATTGTTGCTACATTCTGAGTGGCTTTAAATGCTTTATTTAAAATACATAACAATTGTGCAGCTGCTGAGGATGTTATGAGGGGAAGAGAGAAAGGGGCTATTTGCTCTTTTATGGATACGTGCTTGGCATGGTTTGAAGGATGAAAGATAAGGTGGTTTAAGGACAGACATACTCCATTTGTGATGCTATTTAGCAGTTAGCAAAGACTGCTATCCCTCTAACACAGAATGCTCTCACATCTCTGGGTCCCACTTGTGCCTCGATCGCCTACTCGACAGGGTAAGACCTAAAATAAACTCAGGCAGAAACCAGCCCCCACTCTGCTCCTTCCCAGGGCACCCTGCCCCCACCTTGGAATAGAAACGCATGGGGCTCCAAGGAGAACTGAGAGCTCCCAAGGGGCAAACCTCATTGGATGCTTAAAATAGCCAGGGATGCCAGGGATTGCAACACAGGGGCTCTTTATCCTTTTCCATCCCCAAATTCACATGGAATATGAGTTGGAGAAACGGGGCTAGACCTAGGTCTTCTAATTCCTAATCCAGGGTTCACTTGTCCTTTTATATTAGAATAAAGTTTGGCAATGAATAGTAGAGACCCAACATAACAGGAACTTTAACAAGATGGAAGTTTCTCTTTAAAAGAAAAAAAAATAAAAATAAAAATAAAAAAGCAGTGGCTCAGGGACCAGGCTCTTTCCGTCTTGTTGTTCCACTGTATGAAGACTCCATTCTCAGGATCACTTCATAACTGAATATGGCTGCCTGATTCCAACCATCACATCCAAATTCCGGGACACTGGAAAGAGGAAGAGATGAAGAGATAAAAACAAAGGGCCCAAACAGCCTTTTTTTTTTTTTTTTTTTAAGAGACAAGGTCTCACTCTTGTTGCCCAGGCTGAAGTACAGTGGTGTGATCATAGCTCACAATAGGCTCAACCTCAACTCCTGGGCTCAGGTGATCCTCCCACCTCAGCTTCCTGAGTAGCTAGGACTACAAGGTGCACACTAGCATGGCAGGCTATTTTATTATTTTTGTGTGTGTGTAGAGACAGAGGATCTCACTATGTTGCCCAGGCTGGTCTTGAACTCCTGGCCTCAAGCAATCCTCCTGCCTTGGCCTCCCAAGGTGCTGAGATTACAGGCACGAGCCACCGTGTCCAGCCCCCAAACAGCTATCTTTTAAAGAAGATTTCTTCCGGGCCGGGCATGGTAGCTCACACCTGTAATCCCAGTATTTTGGGAGGCTGAGGCGGGCAGATCACTTTAGCTCAGGAGTTCAAGACCAGCCTAAGCAACAAAGTGAGACCTTGTCTCTACAAAAAATACAACAAATTAGCCAATCATGGTGGTGCACACCTGTAGTCCCAGGTACTCAGGAGGCAGAGGCAGGAGGAGGGCTTGAACCTGGGAGGCAGAGGTTGCAGTAAGCTGAGGTCATGCCACTGCACTTCAGCCTGGGTGACAGAGCCAGACCCTATCTCAAAAAAAAAAAAAAAAAAATCCTGGAAACTGTTATCTGACACTTCCCCTTATATGTCATCTACTACAGGGCCTTACCTAGCCACAGTGGAAGCTGGGAAATATATTATTTATTCTGGGTGGCTGTCCTGTGACTATGGAGCGATGGGAGAACCAATAGTGGGGGATAGTCAGAGTCTCAGCCATATCCTCTTAAGTGAAGGTGAGAACCAACCTAGCCGCCCTCCCTTTGCCCTCTCCTCCTTCCTTCCCCACCTCCTCCTCTTCCTTCTTGCCCCCTCCACAATCTCCAACTTATAGGGCACCACACAAACATCCACTGAGAAGGCAGCTTGCTTTATCCTCATGCTTTGAGTAATGACAATGACTCAAACACTACCGTGCCCTCAAGCTGCCCTCTTGAGTAAGTCTTTAGAGTTGTCCATCCATGGAAGGTCAAGTTCCTTTCAATGACAAGTCTAGAGTCATTGACACTCATCAGGCTGTGAGCCCCAAAACCATAGGGACACTGTCCTGTGAGGGTCTTATAGGCATAGGGAGTGAGGGAAGGAAAGAGGGAGAAAATGCTATCAAGCAAAAGGGACTTGCTGCCTGATGGGCTAGAAAACCAATACCATGACACTGGGATTTTGAGAAAAGAAAAGCTTTATATTGAAAGTCAGCTCCCGAAGAGACAGGAATCAAGCTCAAATCTTGTCTCCCAGGGCTGGCTTTAAGCAGTAATTTTATTAGAAAAGGTTTAGGAGGTGGATATTGGAATTAGTAGGTGATTGGTGGAAGGAAAGAGGAAGGCTGGAAAGTTCTGGGCCATGGGCAGTCATCTCTTCCTGCTATCTCATTGGTCTCATGTGCAAATTTGAGGGGAGTTAGTATGAAACACATGGTGGAAAGTCGGGCTGTGACGTCAACAAGCCCGTTCTGCGCGGACTCCAGTTGGCCCTATTGGGTCCAACCAAGTTCAGCCAGTTCCTTTATCTCCTAAGTGGAGGGAGTTTCCGTGTGTCAGCAAGTTGTTCCTTTTCTTATCTGCCATTCTGGAAACTCAAGATTTTCTGTTAGTCATTGGTTTCTTTAACTCTTTGGAGGATGGTTTCAAAAGAAGTTCTCACTGTCCAGATTCATCTAGAGCGAGGACTTGTGGTGGTGGTTGAGATTGCACACAATCACCTTGGGAGAAATTCATTCCCTTTTCTATTCCCTTCCAATCCTTCTGCTTATGAGGAGGAGAAAGTCTCAGGCTAGTGCTACAGGGTTCTGAACACCTCTCCCGCCTTTGCTAGTGTTTTTTTTTTTTTTTAATAAAGAGGGAACAGATCTCGGCCCAGAGCTTTAAGTATCCCTAGATATCCCTCAATATTAAACCTGGCGTGCAGGGCAGATGCTAACTTTTGTTTCACAAGAGTTGATGTTTTATCGAGTAAGTTGCCTTGCTAGAGCTTAATAACGTTGTTTTGTTTGCCTCGTATTTATTGTCATTTACTTTCATTTGGCAAGCAAAAGGATTTTCCATTTATATTTGTGACATTTTTCCTTTTAAATAAATGTCTTTACATTTTAAAAAGTGAATTGATTTAAGGGGAAAAAGAGTTAGCTAAACAATAGTATGGGTGGTACAGGGATATGTTAAAAGCGTAACTGAAATATGAGATACACAGGTTTGATGGAAAATACAATTTATTTACTTATTTTTGTTTGTTTTTATATATTTAGAGACAGGGTCTTACTCCATCTCCCAGGCTGGAGTGCAGTGGTGCCATCATAGCTCACTGTCGCCTTGAACTCCTGGGCTCAAGCGATCCTCCTGCCTCAGCCTCCTGAGTAGCTGGGACTACAGGTGCGTGCCACCACAACCAGCTAATTTATTTTTATTTTTATTTTTGTAGAGGTGGGGGTCTCACTTTGCTACCTAGGCTGATCTCAAACTCCTAGTTTCAATCTATCCTCCTGTGTTGGCCTCCTAAAGTGTTGGTATTACAGTGTGAGCCACCATGCCTAGCTGAAAATACCATTTATAAGGCTAGAAAAGGCCTGTATTCTAATCTGAGTTCTTCCACTGCCCTACTGTGTGGCCTCAGACAAGTCTCTTCATCTCTCTGAGCTTCTATGTCTTTACCTGTAAAAATGAAGAAAACTGGGCTCAGTGGTTGCTAAAATCCCTGCTGTAAATGACAGGAATTCTGGGCATCTATAGAACCCCAAAGTAATTTCTGGGGACCCCAGACATCACTCCTGTAGCGACTTCAGCTTCAATTGTGGCTTGCCTTAATGAACATTTGTGACTACCTAGAACAGCAAACACTTAGCTTAGTGATGGAGATTCATCTGTATTCAGAGCCAGGCGCACTGGTTCATGCCTATAGTCACACCACTTTGGGAGGCCGAGGCGGGAGGATCGCTTGAGCCCAGGAGTTCAAGACCAGCCTGGGCAACATGACAGAACCCCACCGTCTCTACCAAAAAAAAAACCCCACAAAAATTAGCCAGGTGTAATGGCACATGCCTGTAGTCCTGGCTACTTGGGAAGCTGAGGTTGGAGGATTGCTTGAGCCTGGGAGGCGGAGGTTGCAGTGAGCTGAGATTGTGCCACTGCACTCCAGCCTGGGCGACAGAGCAAGATTCTGTCTCCAAAAAGAAAAAATATCTGTATTCAGAACATTACCAATAAATAAAGATTTTTAAAGCCAGTGGAGAGCCATCTCCCAAACATGCAAAATTAGACTTAATTATTTTTAAAACAATACATCTCTTAATTTGCAAATGAGCAGAACTGAATGCTAAGTAAGGTCTTATTTTGGATGCTAACTACAGTAGCTTTTTCAACTGGAGATTTTCATACTCTGTCTTCACACCTCCCCCCAAATGTTTATTAATAACTCTGCCTTTTCCTTGGTTTTAAATTATCTCTAAATATTAAAGCTTGTGTGCAGAGCAGATGCTAACTTTTGTTGTACATGAGTTGCTTGTCTTATTATGACCCAAAACAAAGACTCATTTCCCATTTTCTCAAAAAATGCTGGGAGATGGTCTATTTCGGAGCTCTGGACTTCCAGCCAGAGGGAGACAAAGACCCACTCTCTGACCCTCAGACATGTCCATACCTGAGTGCCCAGGCATCTCAAGAAATGCATGTTAAAACCACAGTTGGATATCATTTTACACCCATAAATTAGAGAAAATGGAAACATATGACTATAGCAAGTGTTAGCAAGGATGTGGAATTCTTATAAACAAGAAGCCGGTGTAGGAAGGTGGCAGTTTGTGTGGTGGACAGAATGGTGGCTTTAGAGTCATTCATTCAACAAATACTTATTGAGCCCCTACTGGATGCCAGGCGCTATTCTTGGTGCTGGGAATGCAGCAGAGACTAAGACAGACAAAATGCCTTGCCATGGAGCTGATATTCTCGTGGATAAGCGTGAACCACACACAAAATAAGTAAGTCATAGGGTATGTTAGATAATGAGAGGTGCTAGAGAGAAAAAGAAGGAAAGAAGGAGCAATTGAGGTGGTAAGAAAGAATTGCAAGTGTCAACAGGGCTGTCAGAGAAGGGTCAATGAGATGACTGCTGGGTAGAGACTTTAAAAGGAAACAAGCCTATGTGGATATTTGAGGAAGAGTATTCCAGGCAGGGGGAATAAAAGCCAGTGCAAAGACCCCGTGGTAAGAGTGTGTCTGGTCTGCTTAAGGAAGAACCAGGGGGCCTGTATGACTCCACTACAGTGAGCAAGGAGACGAATTGCAGGACAGAGAGGGAACATCTGGGGCTTATAATCAGGGTAAGACTTTTGGCTTCTACTATAGGGGAGTCACAGGAGAACTCTGAGTAGCATCCCTCAGGCTACTGGGTTGAGAACAGACTATAAGGTGGAAGGCAGTAGGGAGGACATAATCAGGGAAACCCAGGAAGAGGCTATTACAATAGTACAGGTAAGAGGTGATGGTGAGTGGACCAGGTGGGAGCAGCGGGCGTGGGGAAGAGAAGGGAGGTACTGAGTATATTTTAAAAGTAGAATCAGTGGCACATAGACACCATGGAATACTGTGCAGGCATAAAAAAGTATGAGTTCATGTCCTTTGCAGTGACACGGATGAAGCTGGAAAACATTATTCTCAGCAAACTAACACAAGAACAGAAAAACAGCTGGGTGCGGTGGCTCATGCCTGTAATCCTAGCACTTTGGAAGGCCGAGATGGGTGGATCACGAGGTCAGGAGATCGAGACCATCCTGGCTAACACGGTGAAACCCCGTCTCTACTAAAAATACAAAAAATTAGCTGGGTGTAGTGGCGGGCTCCTGTAGTCCCAGCTACTCAGGAGGCTGAGGCAGGAGAATGGTGTGAACCCGGGAGG